AAAGATGTGTTAAAAAGAGCAGTTTTAAGAAAATTTAAGTTTTGTTTTAGCAAAATTTTGGTACAAGTGATCGTCAGAAAGGGTTAGTAAATCAGGTCTGGTGTATTGTATTTAATCTACAAAGTAGACTAGGGATTAAGTTTAAGAGTAGCTTGTTCTGGAAAAGGGCAAGTATTAGATTCTGAGTATAATTGGTCAGCAAAACTACAAGGGCAGTTATAGGTATAGTTAATTTTATTTTTCTTGTTAGAGGAGGTTGAAGGAGGTTGGGGTAGGAATTGGTAGTTAGAATAAGGAGAGATTTGGTAAGATTTTTTCTATTGAAAAAAATTTATACAGTATGAGATCCAGATATTGTTGTAGAGTTGATCGAAGATATTAAGTAGTAGTTTGACTATAAGTTGAAAGGCACTAGAATATGAAATGTCAAATGGATCTAAGGATTTGATTAAAGAAATTGGTATAAAGTAATACATATTATATTTATATTATATTAAAATTAATAATTAATATATAATATTATTTGTATTATATTATATAATCTATATATAAAGTTATATTATATAAACTATATAAAAATCTTAACTTCTACTAAACATAAATAAATAAAAATTATTACTTTTACTAAAAAGAATTTTTCAAAATTAATATAGTAAATATCAATTTTCTTGCATATAAATCATTTTTCTATATTTTATATTATATATTTATATAATTGTATTAATATAAAAAACTATTAAATTTTCTATATATTAATAGCTATATTTTTAATATTTTTGTTAACAATAAATCTAAAAACAAATAATTTAATATAATATATTCTATAATAAACCTAACAAATATAACTTATATAAAAAAATTTTTAAATTTTTAAGCCAAAATATATTAAAGCTTTTTTCTAATAAATATTTTGGATTTTCTTGAACTTTGAGCAAAAATATCTCAATAGCAACAAATTAAATTTAATAAAGTTTTTTTTACAAATTTGTGAAATCCCGATTAGTTAATTAAATTAAAATTGATTAATATTGCTCAAAATCACTAAAAATTTTACTAAAAAACTATAGCATTTACTATATAAAAAATGCCTAACTAATAATTTTGTTATAAAATTTGCTAACTACTAGAGCAAATGCCAAAAATATATCTGTCAAAATTGAATAGCAATAAGGTGCCTGCACAAATTATCTTTGGATTGATTAGTAGTACAACCAAAATTTAGCAGATCGGCCCGAATTTAGGGTCAGAATATGCTGGACTTTGTTGGCATTAAACTATAATACCGGCTAACCATACTATAGCAAAATCAGTAGCTAAGCAGTTTTAATTAATATATAGGCTGCCAGTTTATTAGTAACAATTTAGAAGAATTTAGAAAAATTTATCAATTCCAGCCTATTCCGACCCTAAATTCGCTAAATTTTGGTTGTGCTACTAATCTAACCGTCATATAACGATAATTTATTGCCCGGTCATCCGATCGGGTATAGCAGTGATGATCATACAATGCACAAATATGGAATCGAGAATCGCACACATTAACTTGCCTACACTACGTACTTTGTACTCCGTTCCTGGTAAAACAATTATATATGGTGCTAAACACCATTTATAATAATTGGACATAAAATATCGATTATGACCAAATGTCGTCATTTCGGTTACCATAACAAATGTCGTAATAGTTTTCTCATTTAGATCACGTTCAGATCACATTTCGGATCTTATCCAATCAAAAACGTTAAAACCTACAAACCCAGAATTAAATAATATATATATATATATATATATATATTATAATAATAATAATAAATAATATATATATATATAGTATAGAAGATAATATAGATAGATAGATTTTAAAAAATTAACCAATTAATGGATTTTTATACGGGTGCTGGTCAAAATCCCGATAAACAGAATCCCGACAGGTCATAATCCCGACAAAAAAATCCCGACAGTAAAAATCCCGACAACAAAAATTATTAAGTTCATTTAAGTTAGGGTAGGGTTAGGTGAGTGCATAGGTTAGGGTTAGGTTGTGCGCTCAGGTTAAGGTTAGGGTTTAGGCGATTATATAGTAAAATTGCTCAAATGACCACTTTTTGGATTTGTCGGGATTTTTGATTGTCGGGATTTTTTTGTCGGATTTCGACCCAAGCCCTTTTTATACATGCTCACAGATTAATTTCGCCATTTTCATATTTTTATCGTCATAATTGCGAAATTTTTGGCACTATAGAACACAATTTTGAGCATGACTAAAAGTATTAAAACGAATGAACTCTGGTATAGATTATGCTTTGTGATATCACAAATCTACCTGATGCTACGGATAATTTTAGTTGAATGACGATAGTCAAAAATCCAATCTCGGAACTTTCGATCTGCGATCAATTTACATATTCGACAAAAATAACTTGCACAATTGCAAGTAAACCTTTTTTCACTTGCACAGTTGCAAATAAAAAAATTTTTTTGCGCAAATGTCACGTGAGCGGATTTCGACCCTCCCAAACAAAAAGACACTATTTTTTCACTTACAGCCGGATTGCTTCGGCAGGCGGGGAATGACCCCACCAGCTAATCCTACAGAGACTCCCAGTACAATTACGGTTGCTTCTGACTCTGCCGCAACGACCAACTCGGTCAATTGATCGCTTTCTAATCATGTATTCTGCTAACCTTAAATTCACCACAGGCATGAATCATCTTCTGGCATAGTCCATATAAAATATACAGAATGTTATGTAACGCGAACGCTTTTCGTTACACTATATACACAACGGAAAAATAGATGGTGTGCAACACATAAAAAAATTATTTTAAAATACTGCAATACTCGATAGTCCGCTAGTACGTGTTATGATTAATCCCACACAATTTTATTATAATAAAAATGGTGTGGATTATAATCATAACATGAACCCCCCTAGCATAACCACCACGATCAGTTACGTGATCGCTGTTTACAGTCTGATCTGAGATTTTACTTAACAGGATCTCATAACCCGACATATAAAATTATTATCGTCATTATTAAATAATATAAAATTTTTTATTGCGTCAAAAAAAAAGTGTTTATTCGAATTGTTCGATAAACAATTATTACCTAACTTTACATATAATATTATAGATTTTTATTGCGTCAAGAAAAATGGTTATTCGAAATTTATTTGGTAAATGTTCATGAATTTAAGTTTACTAATAAGAAAAAAAGAGTATTTCGTGTGTTCCAGGTTGTTGTAGGTTTTTCGCTTAGTTCAGATTCTTTATGTAGTCTATTATCTTTGAATTGACGTGAAATTGATTCAATATTTGGTTGTGAAAGGATATAAGACTTTCAAGAAGGTTAAGCGCCTATATTAGAATAGTATCGATATCAAATTTAGATATTTTTATTTATAATTTAATTTGATAAAAACAATAAATAAGTTATATTTCATAAAGAATTTTTTAGTATTGAGCTATAACTTCCAAATCGCTTTCTTCACTTGATCGTCATCTTTCACAATATTATTATCGTAATTATCAAGAACTGCTGAAGTAATCGTTATAGAAGTTGTGCATCATCAGGTGATGTGTGAATTTCTCCCAATGGCTTTTTCGGCTTCTTCAATTAATGAGATAATATGAATTCCATCGAACCTAAATTGAAATAATATAAAGATAAACTTATCAAACCTTTCTGAAGAATGAAGCCGTCATATTTCCTAAGATGCTTCTGTATTACGTGTTTAAAATTGTCTAAACTTTTTTGTCTTTTTTCAAATTCTTGGCAATTGCACCAATAAGTTAATAATATAATGCTTCTTATGATAAAAATATCCGTCACCTTTCTATAATGCCTCACAATCTTAATCGCTATTAAGTTTGCATGTGAATCAATATTTTCTAATTTTATCAATTCTATTTGAAAGCTTTATAATTGCATTAAGATCCATTCGTGCACTCTCTTTTACCACATTATCCATAAGTTATTTATAAACTACATCTTCGATATCTTCAGATTCTATAGCACTTTCTTGCAATTCATAAATATTATTCATATTCTGCTCCCAACGTTTCCGTTTTTTGCCTTTATTTATACGGGGTAAGCATTTGATACATGTTCCTTTATTGGTTTCAAATTCAATAATTTATTTTAAGAACATTTTTTTAAATTCGATTGGGTTGAATAGTCGGATTCCATTAATGAAACATTTGGTAAGAAAATTTTAAACGACACTTGTTATTAAGTTACAATATATAAACAAACTTTGTCATTATTAACTCATTATTAACTATGACTGATACATGCGTCATTAAAATTTCGGTAATTAATTCCAACTCCGTACGTAACTGATCGTGGTGGTTATGCTAGGTTCGTGTCATAACATGTATTAGCGGACTGATCAAGTATTGCACTATTGTAAATGTGTTACACACTGTAAAATCAGTTTTGTAACATCAACGATTGAAGTGACTGTAATCCGTATCGGTGTTACATACGACAAATTCTACAATATATACGTATACGAATATGCTTAATTAATCCATTAACGTTAATTTATTTGTTCAGATTAATCTTATAAATATTCTATTTCTACAATTACTTTTTAGTAAATAGTAAAATGGATACAACAAATATTATAAAAACCAAAAATAGACACTCAGGTGTACCTTATAAATCGTTTGATGACTTCTTACAAGAAAATCCGGCTATAGAAAGGACCCAATCTCCGCCGAATAAAGCAGAAAATTTGGCGGCTCCTGAGTCATGGGCAGTAAATTTAACTTTCGATAGCCTTAATGTTGAAGATAAGGATGATTGGAAACGATTAGTACGCATATTACATTACATCTCCATATAATAAAATGTTAACTAATTAATTTATATATTTATATATTTTTTTTTTTATGCAAAAAACTTTTGCATTCGTATATTTCGTCCTGATGCCACTTTCGGTACAGTTAATACAGTTAATTGTGGATTGAACACAACTACATTAGAATTATTGCAAATTCTTGGTAAAAAATTTTTTATTCAGGATATTTCAAAATATAATTTATATGTGACGAGGCACAATTAGAATATTATCATTTTGATAATTATTGACATTACATTATTAATTATTCTTTTTTCTGTTTTATTAAGAACGTGTGCTAGGATCTCATGAACGACCATTGCAATTACAAAAGAAATGGTTAGAACAAGCGGGATATACTATAAATGATAATTTGGAAAATATTGGCAGAGAGGATAATAGCTATTTAGTTCGGTTTACCCTCCCTGAAGCTATTGTACCAAGATTTGAAGTATGCTTAATTAACTCTTAAAATTTTTTAATAATAAATAAATTAATTTATCGATTAATCATTATTTTATTATAAACTTATCAGGAAGAAAGAAACTTATCTAATTTCCAAATAGTGGATCTTCAATCTTGCAATTTACTGGCAATACCCATATTTCTTTATCGGCAAGCTTTAAATATTCGATCATTAAATGTTTCTCAAAATTTAATGCTCAACCTTCCTGTGGATTTTATACAATCTTGCGCACAATTATGTGAGCTCAACCTTTCATAAAATGACTTAGAATGTGTTCCACAACCAATTAAACATTCAGAAATGCTTTCTTTTCTTAGTTTAAATTCGAACTACTTGAAAGACTTGGAACCTGGATCATTGGAAATGATTGTAGAGCTAACAAATCTTCAAGTTTAAAACAATTTGTTAGAAACATTACCAGAGAAATTTGCAGCGTTTACCAAATTAAGTATCATGAAAGTTGCCAACAATTTGTTCAAAGAATTTCCTCAAGCTATTTGCGATATTGTGACGCTTTCGATTTGAGTTATAATGAAATAACTTCTATACCAGAAGAAATCGGAAAACATATCCACCTTAAAAGTTGTTCCTCATTGGAAATCAAATAACGGATAAAAAATTACCTGAAAGTTTTCGGAATTTAACTTCTTTGCGAGAATTGGATATATGTCGAAACAAAATAACGAATCTCTGCGCAATATCTTTAATTCCTAACCTCGAAATTCTTCTGACCGAATTTAACGACATATTAACAGTAGACATATCTTCAAGATCATTACAAAAACTTATTCTATCCAAAAATCAACTTACTCAATTCTCGTTAAAGGAAACAGGTCCTTCATTAAAAGAACTTTCATTGGCAAATGCTAAACTTGTTGCGTTACCAAATGAACTGTTTGAACACCTTGAATCTGTTCAAAAGCTTGACATTAGTAATAATCAGTTAATATAGATTCCGACAACAATTGGGATGTTGAAGAATTTAACACACTTAACATGTATATATAATACTCTTCGCACATTGCCAAGCGAAATTAGTAGTTTAGACTCTTTATATGCATTGGACATTCATTTCAACAATCCTGGTTCCATACCACAAGAAATTTGGCTTTGCAAAAGTTTAGCTATTTTAAATGTCAGCTCAAATTTATTAGAGCAATTCCCAGCGTCTCCAACCAATTTGTTAACCAAGAATTCACTTATTAGTTCACTTCGCGCCTTATATTTAGGCGATAACTCTATTACTGCTGAAATATTTTCTTATATTTATTTATTTTCGAAACTCGAAATTTTGAATATCTCATTCAATATGTTAGATCAAATTCCTCCAGGAATTTCTAATCCTCATTTAACGGAATTGTATCTTTCCGGGAATCAATTGTCTTCGCTTCCTGAAGACATAGATAAGTTAACTAATTTGAGTGTTCTACATGTAAATGGCAACAGATTGACAACATTGCCTGCAGAATTGAGTAAAATAAGAAAATTGATGGTTCTTGATGTAGGGAATAATTTTTTAAAATATAATATCGCGAATTGGCAATATGACTGGAATTGGAACTGGAATATTGAACTTAGATATCTTAATCTCTCGGGTAACAAAAGATTTGAGATAAAACACGTACATCAAAACGAAATCAACCCTCTCCGAGATAGGAATTTAGCAGACTTTAGAATGCTTACTACATTGAGAGTTCTTGGTCTTATGGACATTACTCTTTTAAATTTTTCAGTTCCTGAAGAAACAGATAATCGTCGTGTACGAACATCAGTCTCACTAGTAAATTCTATGCGATATGGTATGGCAGATACCCTAGGAAAGGCAGATAATCTTTCAACATGGGAGGCTGTAACACCAAAGTTTCGTGGACATGAAGACGAGAGCATTTTTGGGCTTTTTGATGCTCGTGCTGGCTCCAGTCAAGGTGGTCAAGTTACTAAGTATTTACACGATTGGTTTTTATTCCATTTCAAGACTGAGCTCGAAAATTTAAAAGACCATGAATCAGTAGAGTCTGCTTTACGACGATCTTTTTTGAGTTTAAATAAAGAACTCGGTTTAAAGGTCTTCAAAACATGTATAGAAACGGACCTTTATATAGAAAATGGGTACCATTACCCTTACCTAGGTATTTATGACAATAAGTCTGGTGCTTCCGGATTAGTTGCTTATATTTCAGGGACAACTTTATATATTGCAAATGTTGGAGATGCTGTGGCAGTTATCAGTCGTAAAAAAGAGGCGTATCCAGTTGCGAAATTCCAGAAGTTTTTAGTGAAATTGAGAGGATAAGGCAAGCTGGAGGATATATTTCACATGATTGCCTGGTCAATGGGGAACTGGATGTATCTCGGTCATTTGGCCACTTTCATTTAATATCAATTCTCAATGCTAATCCTATAATGGAGGTAGCTCAACTCTCGGAACAAGATGAGTTTTTAATTCTTGCTACTCGAGAATTATGGAATTATATAAGCTATCAACTTGCGGTGGATATAGCTAGAACAGAAAATGATCTTATGTTAGCTGCTCAAAAGCTGAAAGATTTCGCTATTTTTTACGGTGCTGATAAAAATATCATGGTAATGATTGTAGGTGTCGGAGATTTGTTTGACCGTCGTTACACAATAGTGCCGGAAAAAGTAAGTTATAGAAATAAATGGTTCCGAAAACATGTGCTAATAAATTCTACAAATGAGTGGCTCGAAAAAGCTATCGCTGACGGACATATTAACTATATTGAATACAATGAATTTATTAACCGTGGAGAAATTGGTGCTGGAGGTTTTGGAACAGTTTATAAGTCTGAATGGAAAAAATGTGAATTAATGGTCGCGATCAATGTCTTAAAAATTTAGATAACGAGATCACTCGAGGATTTATTAATGAGGTAAATTTTAAATTAAAATTTATATTATATGTAAATAATAATAATTTATTTTACAAAAAAATTCATTTTTATTTAACAAAAGCTTAAACTATTACAAAAAGTTAAAGGCCATCCAAATATTATTACATTGTTCGGTGTTACAAAAGGCATGTAACAACAATAGTTGTAAACTTATATAAATATTAATACAAATATCTGTTATATAAAATAGACCGAAATGGGCATTATAATTTGGTTTTACAGTTTGTTAATGAAGGAAGTTTACGAGAACACTTGAGAAAAAATTTCAAAAGCTTGCAATGGACAGATAAATTTCGCCTTGCTAAAGAAATAGCGCATGATCTCATGTTTTTACATCATAATAAAATTATTCACGTGATCTTGTAAGTGTATTGTATTGTGTCATATACTTATTGATTTAAATTATAAAAACTTAATTATATTCTTTCATAGCATTCTTTGGATATTTTGATTCATAAAAAACAAATTAAGATTGCGGATTTTGGGTTGGCAAAAAATATAGATGAAGCATCATTGAATTCAAAATCAGGAATTTTTGGAATGATAGCATATATAGACCCACAGTGCTTTATTAACAAAGGATATAGGCTTAATGCGAAATCTGATATATATAGCTTTGGGGTGATTCTCTGGGAAATTTTAAGTGGCCAAATACCACACCCTGTTTCATTTCAAGAAACGATCATATAAAAGACACACCACATGAATATATTGAGCTTTATGGACAATGTTTGAATGAAGTTCCTTCTATCCGTCCGGAAATAAAAGATATTGTTGAAATTTTTGACGAATTCCTGATGAAAAAAAAAATTACTGAAAACGTTGGCGATGAAAAGCCAATTTTAGGTCAAGAAAGTAGTGTAGAATCAAATACTACCTCAAGTAAAATTACACTATCACATTCAATTAGTTTACATGGTATAAATGAATTTGATCTTTAAATATTTAACTATACATATAATTTAATCTTATATATAAAAAGGGAAACATGTAAAAAGTCAGAATTTATAATCAAAATGTTAAAATAATTATAAAAAGAAAAAATAATAAAACCCTAAAGAAAATAAAGTTAAGCTTATTTTTTAGTTAACAAATATATAATATTTCTGAAGCTTGGTGCTAGATATGCGAACCTCAGAAGACAGTACAAGTATGGACATAGAAAGATTTTCAACTTAATATAGGGTATGAGAATGCAGTATTAGATAATATTCAAGAAATTCTTGATAAGTTCTGGTTAAAGAGAAAACGAATGGGATGGATCAAATGGCACAGTAAGTAATCATCCATCCGGATCAAACGGGTTACCCGGTGACCCGAATGGGTCGTTGATTTACTTGAGTGACCCGCAGGTAGTGATACAGGCTGTTCCCAGCCCATAAACCGGGCGGGAGGGTCAGCTCGCACTTCTGTAAGTAATGTATGTAACTCGTAAATACTTCGCCTCCCGATGAATTCCGAATTCACGTGCTCAAGCCGCAGTTCCTTGTCGACGATTACTATATTTAAGCCTTTAAAGTAGCTTAGGACTTTAAAGTATTTTAAGTATTATACGTATTATCCCTTACACCGTCTCACAGGAAAATTTGCTTGTAACTTTTTTGACATATGCACTATTCTGGGCAGATCATACGTATGTATGTAAATTGCAAATTAAAGGTATATAGTGTCATAAGCAAACTAAATCACATTCGAGGGCTTTCTGTCAATGCCATTTTTGGCAGTGCATTGACCTTGTTCTCTTTGAATTCTTCACTTACTTTTTGGGGCCTTCAGAAACCATATGAAGTTTCAAGATGCTCAATATAATTTAAATATCGGAGAAAATCGTCAGAACTTAATCCACATCGGACTTTTAGTAAATTGGGTATTCTCATACGTACCCACGAAATACAACAAACAACTTTGAAATATCGCAATTAGATTTTAGAAATAATAATAAATCTAGAAAAGTTTTTATAAAAATTGGTTTCGCAACCCTTTCCAGAAAAATTTTTTCTAATCTTGTAATATATTTTTCATTATGTCCACAGTGAAGAAAATTTTGGCATATTTTTTCTAAGTACGCGTCATCTAAATTCAACACTTAATAAAAATTTTCTCTTAATCAAAGTCCTTTTTTGTTCAAAGTATGTAAAGTGATGTGAATTTGCACATTCTAAATGCAATTCTTTCTACGTACAAATTTTATTCATTTATATTAATTTTCTAAGTCCGAGTAAATTACATTTAAAAAGAATAGACTGTATTTCAATATTTAATTAATATTGAAAATTGTTCAAAAACACTGACTAGCAGCATTTTTCATATAAGGCAATAAGAATTATTGATGAATAAACAGGAATCTAGATATAAAAAGATAGCGTATTAAAGTTTCATAAAAACAAAGTACCGTATTTGTGCGTAATAACACGCAGGTACGCGTTATTTTGAGACCCTGCGCGTTATTTCGGAACGCGCATGCGCGGTAATTCGAATCATTTTGACAAATTTGGGTTGCCCTACTTTTTTTATTAATTAACTTAGCCTGGAAATATGTAATATGGTATATTTAAGAGGGCGCATTATTTTGGGACGCATATGGGCGTTATTTTGACAATTTCGAAATAACGCCCATGTGCATTATTACACACAAATACAGTATTATTAAATAACGTCACACAATTTAAAACAAATTTTTAAATAAGAAAAATAAATATATTATATTATTATAATTTAATAGGAATAAAGAACTTGATTACTGCAATTAAGATAGAAAAATATTACTTTTGCTGCAATTCATTAGATTTTGTAAATTCTTGTGGCTAAAGCTGGAAATTAGAGACCTCTGTTACACCTGGGATTGACCTCTTCTATACAATTCAGGGAACTATAAAATCAATGGTATGAAGACTATGATCTAGTGATTCAGCATATTAATAGAGTGTTGATGATACGACTTATCAAAGAGGTTTTATAAGGCTTTATTGAAAGAGGCAACAACTCGATCGTATATGAAGACGAAGGGTTGTAGGAAACAAAATAATAAATCACGCGTCTCACGTGATCACAATCGTTAAGATTCTTAACGAACTAACTCAAAATACAGAATTATGTATGAAGACACAAGACTTGTTTATTGATTATAACTCGATCTTTCCAATACATTTTGATATGAAACTGAAATAGAAAATAACAACAGGGGATAACTATATGAAGATAGTTATTAATACAATTGGAAAATTCAAAACTATCTATTAAGGGAATTATATATATGAAGATATCTAATTATTAAAGGGAAATCGAAGTCTGAGAAAACTAGCTTAAGGCAAAATCTCAGCCTTTAAATATCTATCATGGTCACATATTTAATTATAGTGATCAACTAACAACCTATCACTATCTATTGATTAGAAACTTTTCCTACCACTTATTCTTTTTAACTTCAACTTTTTTACTCTATATTCACCTATTTGCACTCATTATCTTACTACATCCTCACCTGCTAGTGATCATCCCCAATATTGCTTCATTGCCTTTCAAAAGGCACAAGCTAAATATACTTTTTCAAGCTAATCTACTCAATATTAAGATCAGCTAATTATTAAAATTATACCTACAGTAGTAGCTATCAGGCCTATTTGGAAGTGTTATTAATATTATGTTATGCATCTTGTTATTAGTATTAGGACTAATAAGACAACAGAATTTTGTATAGTATTTACTATTTAGGCAATAAGCATATATATATAATAATATGCTTTAGCCAATAATACAAAGATCTATAAGATGATTATCTTTTAATTATTCTTAATTATATAGTTCAAAGGTTTGAGCTAATCTATTGCAGAGTTGTATATTATGATAACCAAGTACTTCTTCAAGTTATTAATAAATAACTTGTAATTCTTTATTAATATAGCTACAAGTCTGAACTCTTTCCAACGATCCCTCATACCAAAATTACAACAAACCTTTTTTCCAAAAAACAGTAAACTATGGAAGCAAAG